ATAAATAGCAAAACGCCTAAACGAGGGTCTAAACGATGAATTTTGCTCAAAATTAGCCTTGCATCAGGGCCAAAGCCCTGTGTTTTATTTATTGGCTCGATTCCAATTTAATTAGACTAGCCAAAAACGAACCAACCAAAGTTATCATGAAATCAAAAAAATATTATTTTGCCTTGCGACGGCCCCATTTCATCATAAACTCCCAATTTAATTAGACTAGCCAAAAACGAACCAACCAAAGTTATCATGAAATCAAAAAAATATTATTTTGCCTTGCAACGGCCCCATTTCATCATAAACTCTGATCCCTTATGGACTTCGTCATTCCCATCTAAAATTTTCAGTTCTGCCGGATTAATGTTTGAAATGGGATTCTCCCTATTTGCTACCCAAACTATAGTTCTTTGACTAACATTTTTGTACCATGTTCCAACATGATACCTTGAAGAATTACCTGGTCTGGTTTGCAAACAAAGATTGGTTTGCTGTGATGCTGTTAGCTCCTTCAGAAAGATTAAGGCTTATAGAAAAACAGCACACAGATTACAAAACAAGAACTCTTTTTATGATCATGGCTCCAAGAAGATGGGCTAGAGAGAGAAAGAGAGAGAGGGATGGGGGGGTTGAGCAAATCGTTGTTTTCTTTGAAAGTGGTTCCATTAAGTGAAAAAATGTAGGAGAATTCATGACTGAAGAAGCCGAACAATGATTCTGCTTTGAGTCGAGTCAATTCGTTCACAATGAATTACCATTGTGCCATCAGAAAATGACAGCTGATGAAAAAAGTAATTCTATGTTAACTAATTAATTTGAAGCAAAACGTTATTTTGCAACAGTTAATCGATCAAAATCACCCAATCATCTTCAGCCATCATCAACAATATCAACTTAGACACAAAGAAATTCACCGCAGTACAAAATAAAAGCAAATTTTTGTTGTTTTAAGAAAATTTTGTCTAGCAAAATGCAAATTTTTCGGAAAGGTTCTTCATGCTAAATAACGATACATTCTTCTTTGTCGAATAATGATATTGATCAACATTGAATTCGTAGACTACTTTTATTACAAAAATGGCAGTCGTAAGAGCAAAGTTGAAATGGAATTTCAGATGACTATGATTTGCATGAGTAAAAATGGATTAAAAGATATTTTTCATTTCTCTTATCTATCTAATGTCCAATTCAGCATCACAAACTTTTTTGTTTTTTCAAATTAACTTACATTAAGATTTGACTATTTATTGAGCATGAAATTTTTCATTAGTCAATCTCTGCATTTTTGCTATGCTCTTTGAACTTGATAATTAAGAATTGTTGAGAAAAATATCTCTATTGTCTAATTTTACTCAAATTAAGAAGGAATTTTAAGAACTGAAAAGTTGATTGCTGAACTAGAACCACCGATATCAGAAATTACAGGGAACTGAATGACAAAATATCCGAAGTTTAAAGAATGATTTCGATTATTAAATGTTTGCACCGAACCAATGTCCATTTTTATAATTTGTTGTTAATAACTATGTCATATTTACTAGCTTTTTCAAAAAACAAATAAATAAAAATAAAACCAGCAATCAGAACAATTAATGAAGTTCTTGAAAAAATTGCATAGTTTAAAGAAACGTGCAAAGTTTGATAAAACTATTTAAAGTTTATGTAAAAATAAGTCAAACGATACCTTAATAATTGTTTTCTTACTATTTTTTCCCCCTAAATTGTTATGATTGAAACTAATCTGAATTGAAACATATTCGATTATGGTTCGGTTCTAGTAATTACATGAAGTAGAATTTCATTTACAAAATTTTAAAATTTAATCGATGCTTCTAGTTCTTGAAATATCCCGATTGAACCATTAGATGCTCCCCTAAGTTTCATAAAACCCATAACTACCATTCACTTAGAGTGTGTTTTATTGATTTTATTTTTTTATAAAAAAATGTTATTTTTTCATTCAAATTCCTATTTTTTGAGTGTTTGATTGACAATTTTTTTTACATGAAAAATATTTTTAGACTTTTGATCACATGATCATATTTTCCTCATAAACAAGGAAAACATTTTCTTTAGATAGGGGTGATTTTTATTTTTCAGTTAATTTACTCTACCTTTCTCTCTTTCGTCTATCCCCTCTCTCTCATCTATTGACCAATAAAAAATAGATAAGTGTAATATTTTTTAAGTCGAAAAATAAATCAATCAAACACATTTAGACCATTCAGATAAAGCATAGATGGAAAAAAAAAGTGTCACTACTTGACATTTTAGACATCATCAATTACATGTCTATTCAACCCTCTAGCACAACAATTCCTTGGCTAATCTTCCACAAAGAAAAAATGTACAAACAACTAGAAATGAGAGGAAACTTGCATATCTGGACTTCTTACTAATAAAACAAGTTCGTGGAGATTCTTGTTGAGCATAAAACGAGTGGAAGGAAATAAGAAAAATTTCCTCAACGCCCTTGTGGCATACATACTGTCAACTCATTGTTGGAGAACAAACCCGGTTGATTAGAGGGCGAGCATTTTCTCATTACAAAAGCTCGTTGATTTGGGATTGGAAGAACTACAATTTCTCCACTAAGCATGAAAACTACATTTGACATGGAGGGGCGATTACTGGGGTCTTCTTCTACATGCAATAGCCCAACATTTATGTACTTGATAACTTCAGATTTCTCACAAAATTCGAGGAGTATTGGGTCAACTATATCTAATGCCTTGTTTTCACTCCACAATCTACATACCTGGGCGAATAATTTAAAAATATTTTAGACTGTGAATTGGCTAAAATGTTGCATATAGCTACTTACATAACCCAAAAGATTCAAGTTTTCTTTAGATTGGTAAAATCCCATGTTGCCTGGAAACATCCATCACGTATCGAGATTTAATGGAAGGATTATAAAGAGAATACGTGTAGTAACTCTCATTAACGTTGTCAACATAACCATGACTATACATTTTGCTCAGCCTCATCTCAGGGATTAAACTGAAAAAGAGCCCATTCCAAGCTCAACTAGTCTAGTACTATTCAGTCCTATTCCATCTTATAATAATTTGACTCCCATTTGGATCTAATTCAAAAGAGAAAAGCCCAGGTGCAGGATCCTCAAGAGTTTTTCCAAGAAGTGAGAACTTTCTTTGTTTCTGAACGTTTATCGTAGGCAAGGCTACAAAGAATGAAACAATGTTTCTGTTGGATTATCAAAACTTTGCCAAAATCCTTCACTTGTCCTAGGTTCTGACTCGTATCTCAAAACTAAATTTCCATTATCACCTAGAGTTGCCACTAAAGAATTTGAGGTTGTCAAGTTTACATTTGTGGACCAAACTGAAACCTGAGACTCATCCATAAGCATCAAATGTCCGTCTAAAATTTTAAATTCTGCAGATCTGACCCTATTTGCTACTACCCAAACGGTCATTGAAGTAACATTTTTGTACCAAATTCCAATATAATAACTGGAAGAAGTACCTAGTGTGAAGAATCCTAGTTCAAAGATGTTGCCAGAAGAGACAATTGTCTGGCTTCCAGAGAGAGGCTGATTTGCTGCAGTTTATGATGCTCGGATTTGGGTATGGGTACGTATCTAAATGTCGGATCTTTTATTTTTTTAAATGTAGGTTATGGGGATACGGCTAAAAAGAGTCCAAAATTTGGATACAAGTACATGATTACGTCTTTTAAACTTCAATTTTTTTACTAATTCAAGCCGTCATTTTGAATAAACCAAAATCAATTGTTCACAAAGAATAAAATTTTTGGACTAAATTTTCAATTATGGAAAGTTAATTACTAAGGTCCGTTTGATTGCAAAGATGGAATTTGGGTGGAAAGAAAATGAATTTCAAGAAATTGAATTACCTAGAAATTGTCTTCCAGGAAACTGTCGTCTCTGGAGGATGCTAAAGTACGAAATCAATAAAAAGAATAAAAATTTAAATAATTAATAAATTTCTTCTTCTTTTTATTTTTTTCCCTTCAAAATAGTAATTTAAAATTGATAAAATTGATTTCAGAAAAAGTTGTTAAGAAGTTACATGATAAATAGGATTACTTGCATGTAAAATTTTATGTTAAAATAATCGAGCCCCATTATTTTTTCATTAAAATGAAAAATATGATCGTTATTCATCACATCAGGTTACCATATTTGACTTTTTATCTTTTGTGTGATATTCATAATGACTATATTTTTCATTCTCATTTTTACAATAATGTGGCTTAAACGGGAGCTAAATCGGATTTAATTAACCTGTTTGATTTAGCTTAAAAGTTAGAAAGAATCGAGAAAAATGATTTCTTTAGACAATAAAAAATGTATTTCGTGCCAAAATAACTCGATAAACGTACTACTAGAAAAATAGAATGAGATTTGTTTGCTACATATTACCATGTCATGTTTGGTATAAATTATAATCAATTTTTTAGTAAAAATTGATGAAATATGTAATTAAAAAATTATGAAGCCACGAAATATATAATTAAAATTAATCATGAAAATTGACACAAAAATTTAATATAATTTTAATCTATACAACCTATTTCAAAATTAAATGTTCCAATGGTCATTGAATTTAGGTCCATATTTTTTATTGGTCACTGAAATTTAAAATGTTGAGTTCTTGTCATTGAATTTAGATCAATGTCTTCAATTGCTTATTTAAGTTTAAAATGTCGAATTTCAACCATTGAACTTTGAAAAATATTGTATATTATTCACTAGTATAAATGTTAACTTTAAAAAATATTGAATTTATAGTGAGTAACGTATAATATTTTCAAAATTCAGTTGTCAAAACTCGACATTTTAAATTTTAGTGAGCAATCAAAGACATGAACATAAATTTAGTAACCAAAATTTGATATTTTAAAGTTCAATAATCAATTAAAGATATGAACCTAAGTAATTTAGTGACTATTGAAACAATTAACTCCCTATTTGAAACAATTAACTCCCTATTTCAGTAATTATAGACTAATGCTTCAATTTCTCCACTTTTAAAAATATTCGCTCTCGCTCTCACATTGATAACAGATCGACACTTCCAATTTCAGGAGTTTTCTTCATTGAGTTAGGTTCATGCTCGAACAATGGCGAAGCTTGTTCAATTGACAAGAACAGTATTCAGATCCCTAAAACATCAATCATCATTCACTTTCCAATTACAATCTAGAAGATCTTCTTTTTACTTTTTGAATACATATTTTACAAAACCCTGGAATTATTCTCCCGATCCGAGAATAAGCTTCACGTCATGCAGCTATTCTTCTGTTATTGAAGAATTTCAGTCCCCTACAACCATTGATTACCGGTAATTATATTTCCTTTACATTTTCCCCCTTTTTTTTTTGAGTTTAAAATTTTTTTTATATGAATTTGGAAATTGAGAAATTTGATGGTTTGAAAATTGATTTTCCATAAATTTTAGGTAATAATATATCGATACATGTACAGTTCTGTGCTTCCGGAAGAGAAGTATCACATGTTGGCTAATTCCACGATCCATGACCTGCTAGAGAAGCTAGAGGTAACTATCTCAAATTCAATTCTTTGTTTGAAGTTTGACATTAATATGCTCTGGAATTTTTAGAGGATTCTTACTATCATTTTTTTTTCATCGGCATAAAACTGTAGTAGTACTTAGCCTAAATCTCAAGATTGTCTGGTTGGCTCATTAACCTAGAATTGTAACGTGATTTGTATTTACATATGTTCAATCTAAGCTACAATGGATGAAAACAAGTCTCCAGTTATGTATGACAAAAATTTTATTTGTTTTGAAATTTTTGAGGGTTGTAGTATGTGTGTCAGGAGGGTTTATAAGTGTCAATTTTATAACTTTGGCTTTGTTGGTCTCTATATCTGCCAAGATGTGCACGTGGTGACCGTGTTATCCAGAATTTGATACAGAAAGTAAAACATAGAAGGAAATAGAAAAGAAGAGAGAATAATTGAAGGGGGATTTTCAGTATTCAATATTCAATAATCACTAGTCTGTTTAAATTCATTTCCAAATTCCCCTTTTATAGTTGTGCATAACTTGAATTCAAGGGAACTTTTAATACATTACAAGCTTACAATATCAAAGTCTATCTAATCTTGTCTAAATTTGAATTGCTCCTATTTTTCCTAAAGTAAATCTGTAACCATGTTAAGTCCTCAATTAGGTCTCTTTCTCCTTAGAATCCCTGTCACTGGTTTTCGAAATCTACGTCTTTTCACTTATTTACTTTACCTTGTTGAGAAGCAGTGACAGGTGGATCTAATTTTCAACGAAAAATACCTGATAATGGTTTACCTGGCTATGCTTAACTAGGAGGATTTACTTCGTTAATCTCATTTTTAGGAATATAAATTAGTTGCATAAAATAAGATTTATGTGCATTACTTATCATTGATAGTCTGCTTTTCTTTGTTGCATGACAAGAATATGGAGACTCTGGAGATTGATGGTTTCGATGTAGACTATGGGGTAAGAATGATGGTTTGATGTTTGAAAGTGGTTAATTTTGTCAACATTTTGCGTCTGCGCTGCTGTAAATCTGGGTTTCATTTTGTAGAATGAGGTATTAACTCTGAAGCTCGGGAATTTGGGAACCTATGTAATAAACAAGCAAACGCCAAATAGACAGATTTGGATGTCATCTCCCCTGAGGTACTGATCCCTCTAACTCAAATCAGTATATCTTTTGAATTTTGACCTGTCTCTTTCAATACATTTTGTTGATGTTTGTCCTGGGATTTTAGAAAAGAAGTTTGCTTTGAGTCATATTCTTTGCTTTAAGTAGAAGAATTGCTGGATTTTGGATTTGGTTCTTCTTTTACTGTTACTAAAAAGAAAGAAAATCAAGTTTTAAGTTCTAAATTTTTTGAAATCTTGCTTTTATAGTCCTTATCTATGAAGTGAAACCCCAACTGGCAGTGCCAGGTTATTGCAAACTGCAATGATTGAGGAGAAAGGAAGTGAGAAAAACGCGATATCTACCTGGGCTATTTGCGATAGAGAGGACATTACATACCATGAAGAACATTGTTTATGTTGCGCACTTCAATGAGCACTTTTGTTGAACTCACTCTGATGAGTTGACAGCATCATTGGTTTTTGAAGTGTTGACAACAAGTTACTTAATGCTTTTGGGTTTTCTTAGCCATAATGTAACCTGTCTTTGATACTAACTACTAAGTGTCGAGTTGTCAAGTTTAGCCACAAATTACCTTGTGATGCTATTAAGAAATTCCATTTAGTCAACATGTAGGATTACAAACGGTTTGCACTCAAGCCAGGGCAACAAACACGCAACACATGTAATACATACCAAAATTTCAAAACTTCATCAACTCCAAATTAAGGAACTTGTAGGATTACTAAAGGTCCACCTATGGTCATCAATTGCCAGTATTCTACATAGTTGCTTTAATCAATTGGCACTGCTCCATTTAGGTAGATAACTCATAATGAAAATATTGAAAAAAGTCCTTCCCAGTTAATTCAACAAATTGATCAGTCAACCTGCTAAACACCTGCCAGAAAGAAAACATTCATTTGCTAGGAAAAAGATATTGTTATGGGTAGATGATGCTTTTGTTGTGGTCCAATGAGGAGAACTTCAAGGGATTGCTGGGGAACAAGGGCACATAAGTAGTTGCTCCATATTGAAACAAATAGTTTTTAACATATTTATTGTTATCATTTTTAAAACAATTGTAAAACAAATGTAACTAGTATTTTTACAGAATGTGCATGTATTGTTCACGCTCCTTATTTTGTTCTCTGGTATTTGAGGTGTTTTGAAAGAACTGAGTGAAATTTCTGCAAATAACCTTGTAATTTAAGAGTTATTGCATTAATCAAGTATAGTTTGAATTTAAAAGGAATGGGCGTCCTTGTTGCATTAGTTAAGGAGGTTGATCGGAAGTGGAATGATTTCGGTATGGATGATTTTTTTTTCTAAAATTGGAACTATGCCTTTGAATTTTTACTCTACTTGCTCACTTGAAAGTCGGATGAGTAGAGAACCCAACTCCAAAATCTGCCCATCTATTCGAGTTGGGTGAGTTCACCTGCCATTTTACTGAATTTTTCCTTTTTCTTAGCAAGGGTGAAATATATTTATTGTCCATTTTTGACCCAAAAAACTTGACATGACTGTTCTTCATTTCACCAACTAAAACAAGGCGACTTAAAATCATTTACCCTTTTTATACTACAGTTGATATATGCGATGCCAATGTATATTAGTTTCTTTTACTTTGTATTAGGCATATAGATGAGTATGATATGCATGTTTTCTTGGAAAATTGTGTTATTTGATTAGATGTCCATGCCTTCATTTTCCTCTGTGTTTGCTTCTGAAGATTAAACTTTCTTTTGCAGTGGCCCATCTAGGTTTGATTGGGATCAAAATACCCAAGCTTGGATTTATAGGCGAACTAAACGGAACTTTATCAAAGTTTTGGAAACTGAGTTGGAACAACTTTGTGGGAAGTCCATTAACCTTTCTTCTGCCTAAAGTCGTAAAATAAATGTAACTTCTCCAGTAGTCATTGGTACGATAGTGATTATCTTTTAATCAAATGTGATCTCTCTTTTTATTTCTATTTACCCCTTCTAGTTACGATTTCACATGCTCAACTGTTTGTAATTGTAAATTATGCTACATCATAATTAATAAATTATGTACACTTATATAATGACTAAGATTGCGATCAAGCTCTAACAACATATATTTAGTGTGTCACGCCATTATATTTAATAAACTATATCCGCTTATTTAATAAAGTGCATGTACCAACAGTTATGACATTCTCCCTCCATAATTGATTACATTTGTAGATAGTGTGTCATGTTACTTGGTGCTTAGGAGATTAGTCTTCTCATGTATATATGCCAAGTATATGAATTCACCAATGCAATTCATAATATCACGTAACACAATACATAAATAAACTATGAATCTGTTCGGTAGTGATTTATGAGAATTGATTTTTTGACCATTAGAGAAAAAACTAGGTTTTACATATGAGTGAAGAAGTAAAAAATGACGGCTAAAATAGTGAAATAACGGTCAACAAATTGATTTTTTTAGGTGAAAAAATTGCTACCAAAGCAACTTAGATTCTGGCATGACAAAAAAAAATGATAGCATTAAGGGTAGGGAATAAGTAGATTCCTCATCGCCCTTCTTCAACAGACATTGTTAACTCATTGGAAATTGAACCCGGTTTAGTAGAGGATGAAGAAGTGTTTGAAACGGGTTTTCTTGTTATGAAAGCTGGTTGATTAGGAACCGGAAGAATTGTTGCTTCGCCACCAAGCATGAAAACTACATTCGACGTGGTGGGCCAATCACCGGGATCTTCTTGAACACACAATAGCCCAACATTTATGCACTTCATAACTTCAAATTTCTTACAAGATTCAAGCAATATTGGATCCATTTAATCCAATGCCTTGTTTTCACTCCACAATCTCTATGCTTGCACAAAAGTTTCGAAGTATACATTAGACTGGGAAATTTCTAATGGTTATATATGTCGAAGCAGAGGATATAAATGGTGGGATTTAGCCACTTACGTAACCTAAGAGATTGAGGGTTTCTGTGGACCGATAAAATCCCGTGTTTTCTTTTCCACTAATTATCTCGAGTACAACAACTCCAAAACTAAATACGTCTTATTTCATCAAGAATAATACATCTAATGCATACTCCAGAGACATATATCCACTGGATCAAAATAACTAGTTGTTAGCATGAAACATATGTATGTATCTACACACGCTCGCACACACACAAATTTTTATTTTATTTGATGTCTATATCTATAAGCATTGCTTAATTCTTGTTGGTACAGAGGAGCCAATTTATGTGCACGGCTTTGGATGGGAAAGAAGAAATGAAGACTAGTGACCTAGATAACCGTATTCAACTAACTAGACATGCAAACTTGAAATTGGCTACAAGGAGAAGCATACCAAAATTTGGTCTACTAAATCGCAATACAAGATTTTCACTGTAGCAAGTAAAGATGAGGGTTGTGTTTGCCCAGATGGATCCAGACGATGCTTTGCTTGATTTTGATAATATGCAAGCAAATTGAACAACGAAAAGACAGGAAGGCTCTATCGCAGATTCATTTTCATCTCTCCAATAACATTCTGTAGGATGTATCAAGGAGAAAATGAAAGCTACTTTGTGGTTAAAACTGGAGCAGTTGTGTATGACTAAAAGTCTTACGAGCAAACTGCATCTAAAACAGATACTGTATTTCCATTGCATGGCAGAGAGAGGATGGCTGGAAGGTCACTTGGCTGTGTTCAGGGAAACCATCGCGGACTTGGAAACATTGGAAGTCAAGTATGATGAGAATGATTTGGCCTTGATCCTATTGTGCTGGATGCCCGTTTCTTATGCGTTGTTTCGGCACACGATTCTGTATAATCATGACACGCTCACTATCAACGATACGTACGATGCTTTATTCTTAAAGGAGAAGATGAAGTATCTATTTGAAGCTATATCTAGGGATGAGGAAGCTTTGATATCTCATGGTGATCAACGAAGGGACAAATTGAAAGTGAACTTCAGCAATTTGTATTGCTTCTACTATAGGAGGAAAGGACACGTCAAGAAAGATTGCAATAAGTTGCAAGTTAAAGGTAATTTAGCTAAAAATTATGGGAAGCAATCATGTAATTTGAAGAGACCAATATTGCTGATGACTTTTCGGATGGCAGAGATGTGGTGTTAATCGTATTTGACATGGAGTCTAAGCCTAACAAGGGATGGATTTTGGATTCAGCATGCACGTTCTATATGTGTTCCAATCGAGACTTGTTTGAGGCATATGATGCGATTAAGTAAGATGTAGTTGTCATGGGAAACAATCAATCTTGTGGGGTTGTTGGAATCGGTCGAGTCAAATTGAGGTTGTAAGATAGGACAGTTAGAATACTTGGCCAGGTCTAACATGTTTCAAACTTGAAAAATAATTTCATCTCGTTGAGTACTCTGAATTCAAAGTAGTATAAGTTCTCTGGTGGAGGTGGGGTCTTGAAGGTCCGAAGGTGTGTCTGGGTTATACTAGAAGGACGGAAAAAGTTTTAGTTGCTAGAGACATCTGGATAAGTTTTGGTACTGTGGTGGAAATTCAATTTGATACAGTACCTCTTATGATGGGCTTTAAGTTAGTTCAGAACACTGCTAGGGAAAGCACTGGTGATTCCGCTTTGCCACCAATTTCAGCGGATAAGTGTTCAAATGCTATATTTGGATCCATTGAGCATAGGTACGATGTTGGCGATATCTGTAGTGCTTTCCAAAATTTCTAATCAGGCATTTTGTGTGGATTTTGTTACCGGATGTGCTTCGACCCTGTTTGGTCAACATTAATTCCTTGTTGAAAATTTGGAAACCTGGAATTAGGATTCGGGTGTCACTTGTGGATGCCGGGCAGATGATGAAGTTTTTTGTAAGGTGGCGAGTTTTGGTTACTATTTGAGGAACTTGATTATTTTGATACAATTAGACATATTTTTCCAAGTGTAGAAATTTTGGAACTTTGTTCGTTGCACTGAGATTTGGGTCAAGGTGGAAATTGTTAGATTTTGTGTCCCAAATTATAGTTATTTTTTAGAAAAATATTGTTTCCTTATTTTCACTTGATTTTATTGGAAAATATTGTTTCCTTATTTTTATGTGATTTTATGAAAAAATATTATTTCCTTTATTCCACATTTTTATATTATTTTCATATTTATGATATTTTTAGGGTTTGTCATGTCCCTATAAATATGTAGCTTTTCATTTAGTTTAGGTGAAGCTTTATTGTTCAAGTCTTGTATTTTCTCCACATATTATTTTTAATAAAACATCGATTTCTATGCTAATCTCTCTTCAATTTCTTTACTTTAATCTCGTTTTCTTCCTTGTGATCATACATATTTCATATTATTCATTAATCTCAATTCTTGCATCACCTCCAGGTTCAACAGTCTTGAAAAGTCTCGCTTAGAACGTTGTGATAATGCTTGAAAGTTTGCGAGACGCTATGATCACGAATTCAAATTTTAGTGTTACCAAGTTTACATTCTAGATTACCAATTAGTTTGATCTTACATGCCGAATTGACTTATCAAAGTAAACGCATCACTTTTAATTAGTTTCTAGATTTTTTTTTAAACAAGAACTTTATTCAATCACCCCTCACTTATGGCGGAGGAATACCGTGGGGTCAAAATAACAAAGCGAAAACAAAAAAAAACCAAACAAGCCATGTAGAACTAATCAACCCATCTAGTTACACACATCAACCTTACAATTATTGCCTAATATTTGGAAAACCAAGTTTCTCCGTACGAATAATACCTCTTAACAAATTTGGTATTTGATCTATGTGCATATAACTCATCGTGATACATCCGCCCCTTGTCTGGCTAGAAAGTCTGCGGCTCTGTTTGCTTCTCTATATTGTTGAGAAATGGTAAAGCTGATTCCATCAAGTAATTTTAGTAACTCCTCCCAATAATCCCACAAATACCAAATCCTACATGAACGGTTTGTTAACCAGTTTACCACAACAGCTGAGTCACACTCAATTTCCACCTATTGGAAGCCCATCTCTTTACATAGCTCTACACCATTATCATAGCACGCAACTCCGCTTCATTGTTACTTCCAAATCCGTATGGGGCAGAGAAGCCAGCGATCATTACCATGATGATCCCTGATAACTCCCCTACCTCCACAAGGTCCCGGATTACCAAGACTACTCCCATCAATATTTAGTTTTACCCAACCATCAGCAAGTTTTCTCCAAGAAACAAAGAGAGTTGGTTTACTCGTCTTCGAACTCTTAGGCACCTCTAAGGCTTTGAGGAGTTCATTGTCTATTTTACTTAGTTTTGAGACTTTGACAATTTATTCAGCTAAGAGGCGCAACCAAACCTTTATTTTAAGCCATACCTCCTCTGCAGATTCTCGAATCTCTTCCATACGTGCCTTACATCGCCGTCCCCATAGTTTCCATGTTATCAAGCTTGGTAATAGCCCAATTAGAATTCCACGTTGTGAGGCATTTTTTGCGCATGTGAACCATCTACAGACTCTTGTCCACCAAGATCGTGGCCCCATATAGTGCACACCCAAGGCTAAAGATGCCCGCTTCCAAACTGTCGTAGCAATATCCCCAGACTTAAGTACATGATCAAGTATTTCCACTTATCCCTTCTCACAACAATCACAGCGTGATGCTAGAGCAATTCCTGTTGATCTCACCTTAGTATCCACACTTAAGCAGCCAAACTTCGCCTTCCACATAAAAACAGAAATATTTTTGGGTAGAAATTTATGCCATATCCATTTCATCCAAGGAATCTCTGGACTCCTCACCCTTACAATATCCCAAGCGCTTAAAGTGGAGAAATCTCCATTATCGTTCGGCTTCCATATGATAATATCACTTCTTTCTTTTCTGGCACCAATGGTTTGTACAATTTCCTCTACCTTTACTTCCCCACTAGCTCTTGAAGATGGGCGAGATCCCAACCATCTTCAGTCCAGCAATCTCTAACCTTCAGTCTTGGGTTGGTTACCTCCAAGGACTGCTCATTTAATGGGCCACTAGCTAACCAGCGATCATACCAAAATGAAGCTGACCCATCTTTGATCTTCCATTTTGAATTTTCATACACC